AATTATTTAACTTGAATTTAATAAGTTAAAAAACTTACAATTACCGACAGTATTTTTATTACAATGTACAAAACAGTGCTTTTAAATGCAGATAAAATAACAAAAAAGCTGATGATAAGAGAATTACTAAACTATTTCAGATACTTCTTGTAATTTTTAATACCTCATTGTTAACCTTAGAGTTTAAGTGAAACGAAATTTTAAACAATAAACAAAGTATCAAGAAAGAGAGTGTAACCATACGTTGATTAGTAATGTATACAAACACAAAATTTTTAAAATAACATACTGCTTATCTGCTAGTAAAACTGTAGTATAGTTCAAAACATAATTAGATAATCAAACAATTTAAGTGCAATATGTTATTGATCGTGTTAAACTTAAAATTGTGTTACAGTGTTTCTGATTTGTTAAACTATTAAGTGAACACAATACGTTCAAATCTACTTAATAATATAGCAAACTGTGTACACGCAACTCTGTAAACAGTTAAATTCTTACCTTACAAAAAGTTATGTGATCAACGTTGTAACCGTAAAAAAAAAATGTTTTTTATTACAACTTTAATCAGCATGTGTCGCGTAACATGTACAGATGTTATATAACTTATTTTTAGCTTTTAGTTAATATCAAATTTTGATTTTTGTTGTTTTTTGTTGCCAAAAAAATGGCCTCGTATTTATTAAAACATCATCACGTTGGCGTAAAAAATTAAAACTCATACACACCTACCAATTCGGTGGCTTGTGATTTCAAATATAAACGCGTGTGCGTTCGATCTATAAAATGATGTACTTACCATCGGGGCAGTACCAGATTCACAGGACAGATTATAGGAAAGATAAGCGTGAAACAAAAACACCTGCAGGACACGTACCAATAAATGTAAATATATTATGAGCAGAGCTGCGTAGTAGAAGGTGGTAAAAGTGACTTGTCATACTGGCTGCGTTCACAGTGGGACTTTTGCCAACAATTATCGGCACAAGCATTCGCAAAAAGTTGCGTACGGTTGCGCGTTTGTTAGATCGGGTTGATAATTTTTTTGGTTAAATTATTATATAATTACGGTATCTATTGCTCCTTTCAAAAATCCCAAATTTATAAGTTTGCGAATTAATACTCAGAGTCTTATTATATTTTAAAATGACACTACTGATGAGATACATACTATTACAATCGAGTTGAAATATTGTAAAGTTGTTAGAGGTTTTTAAATATAATAACTTATATAGACGTGTAAATATGTATTTTAAGTATAATTGGCTCTACTGATTAAATGTGTAGTCTTAAGATGGTTGTCAAACTTGACACGCAAAAGTATTTCTTTCCTTAGCAAATTTTATTTTGTAATAAATTGAAACAATGTCTCCACATTTATTTTTCGCCGATATATTTTGAAAAGCTGCAAGGCTATGTTCTACGGTGCTTATAGTTTTTCAACGTACATAAATTTTGTAAATACTTTGTTGAAGTTTGTTGGCTACAATTATCTTCGTTTGTCGTTCCACGCAAATGAAATTTTTTTACTTTTCAACAGCTTTACTTATGTACGTAATCAATATTAACTAATTTTTAGGACTCTTATCCATGCATGGATAAACAAATTAGTCTAGGATGTGTTTACAAGCCCAACTCTGCCATGCATGCCCCCTCCACTCCCATTGATTCTGTGAGTCATTTATACAAGTTTACGCGCTAGGTAACTACTGCCGACAGCGCCATCAGTCACCAAAACGTTTCAAATGCGAGGTGCTACACACAAGAAATGCATGGTACAACAGTGTTACAATTACTTTATTATTTGTAATTATGAAACGTCATCAGACATGCAAATGTTTCTGACAAGTGACATTAGGTGACAAAGAAGTGACATCAACAGTTGTAAATGAAATTTATTCTGAAAATATATGAAGTAGTCTTGAGAAAGCAGTATCAATTACAAGATGTGAGAGCAAAAGACGGATCCGTTCTGCTTGTTCCTCTTCATCACTCTCACGAATCTCAAACACTGCATACTGCCAGTTCATATGATTTCAGACTTTAGAATAATATTTATTTTTATAACGCTTTTTTATTTACTCCTTGGATGCCTAATTAAATTATTACAAACATTTTTATGCTTCATATTTATTTATAACTGGTAAACAAAACGAGTAACAAATATGCACGCTTATATACATTATACGTATGTCGTTTCTCTTACCTCACTATATGGAAACATGCATCAGCTAGATGGCGCAAGTGCTCTGCTCTGGAGGTAGTCAATTGTCGCATATTCATTTTAAGTTTGTAAATAATGCTTCAGTAATCAAGTCGAATATGTAAACAGGCTGCTTTTACAAAGTACATCATATGTTATTTTTACATTACCGTATGAGTTCTACATAGCAAATGAGCTGCTAGCAGTGACAAACGCGTGCTCGCAAGAATTTAGCATTTACTAAACAATTTAATTATTTATGTCACTTGTACTTCCGTTTTTACGACTCGTTTCGTGTAAATGCCCTTATCTGGCAATCGGACGAAAGTTCCTTTACACGGTGTACCTACGAATATTCACTGTGTCCAAGGGTTTTTTCCGCCATCTGATGCCAGAAAAGTGCGAAGCTATAGGCTTACTGGTTGCATCATGGAGATACAAGAATGTAGGAAAGAGCCCTCTACTAGCCCGTAATTTGCAGCGATAGAAGACTGAAGTGTGTCGGGGGGGAATCTGTCTTCTGGCAAGTTATGTAGTGACTCTGACAGACACAGACAAATACCCCGGTTCACAACGATTTTACTATCGCGTATCGTACCCACTTTTGTTTCCAGGGATGGGCGATTCCTTTAAAAATAATCGACTACAAAGACTTGGTTTTTGATAGGTATCGATTCCAAAGAATCGAGTCCACTCGGTTCCCAATCATATACATTCATATGTGTACACTCAACGGTAATCGATTCGTTACGCGCAAAGTATGACAATTACCAATGAAAAAGTTTATATTGTAGAACCAGGCAATAGAAATTACTTTTTTAAATTTCGAGCAAAACGCATCGACTACCGTCGACTGCATATAATATATGTATATGAGTGACGCACGTTGCGCGTTGAACTGCGCATATATTATCACCCATCAATTTCTGACGGAAAAAAGATAATTTTTTACCACTCCTAGCATCTGCGATTTGCCGCAACTTGGGTTCCAAGTATTAATAATCGTGAAAAATGCTTGACAAAATTAAAGCAGTAATTTTTTTTTTATTTTTACAGGTGGAACACTTACTTTGGGTTTGGGTTTGATGTTCGGACTGAGGAAAACTCCGAATCTTGCCGCAAATGGTACATCTCTTTGGAAGCTTTTAATTTTATGTCCATTGGCCAACTTGCGGCAGTAATAAAATTTGTTCCCTATGTCACTTTTTATATGATTGAATAACTGGAACTCAAATCGCGAAAAAACTTTGGATCTCCACGAATCATGAGGTTTCTAGACATCTGTGAGTTTTGCGGCAGTAATTTTTTTTATGGGCCTCAGCTCCTAGTCTGTTACTCTTTTCAACGACTTCCATACGGCAAATACTACTGCAGTGCTGACGATAAATATTAGGGGCTCCAGCACGTAATGGAAGCACAAGCAGTAAGTAGAAAGACAGCATTCGATAGTATATCTATATAGTGGAAAGCAAAAGAAACAAGCTATGTCTGTAGCTATAATAACGAATGCTATCTTACTGCTTACTGCTTGTGCTTTCGTTTTGTGCGGGAACCTTAAACGATAGGGATTACATGTAGACTACTTCCCCGAGTAATATACTAAACTCCTCGACTCGAATATACTCAATTCATCGACTCTCGATAATCTCGATATTGTCGCGCACATCTGCGACACTTTCGACCAGTGTCTCAACAGTGTCGAGCAGTCTAGAAGTTGTTGAGACAATCCCGCGTATAGTCGACAAGCTATCAAGTACTCTCATGCACAGGTTGGCAACAGTGTCCTCAGTAGTTAGGAGATTATATAGTACACACTGCCTAGA